TGTGTATATATATATATATATATATATATATACACACAGAAAGAAGGAACACAAGAAACTAGAGAAATACTAAGGGCTCAGATAGGAGCTGGAGAGAGCCTGGAACGTAAAGGTGACAGTAGTTCCTGTGGTGATCAGAGCACTCGGGGCAGTGACCCCCAAACTAGATCAATGGTTGCAACAGATCCCGGGAACAACATCGGACATCTCAGTCCAGAAAAGTGGAGTGCTCGGAACAGCAAGGATACTGCGTAGAACCCTCAAGCTTCCTGGCCTCTGGTAGCGGACCCGAGCTGAATGGGGGAAGGACACCACCAGAGGGATGAGAGGATTTTTTTTTTTTTTAATGTATCACCAGAAGGGAAGTCACTGGCGACCATCTTATGTTGCCTCTCACTAAGATTGCCTAACTTGAATCGTGCGCATTGATTTCTCCGTGGCGTTTTCAATTTTTTTTTTTGTCGCTATAGTTAAAATGTCACAGTGTGTGGCATAGAGTTGTAACAATAAGTCTGGGAGGAGTGCAATATGCATATTCCATAGGTAAGAATGCGATTATAAATTCAACGATTGCTCTGTGTAATGATGTCAGAACCATGAACAATGAAATGAATGTAAAACCCATCCCAGTTCTCTACATCAAAATTCACTACAGCGATAATATAATGTGAAGGTTCGATGCAAACAGTGAAGTTTGTTCTTTGAGAGGTTGTCATTACTCCATTCGGGGAACTTGGGGTAAAACAAGCACTGATAACAGTGTTTTCAGTGGAAAAAAAACAAAACAACAACAACAACCGAAGTTATCAGTAACAGTAAGATTGCTGCCTTCTGGCAGTCCATTCCAGTCCATGGACAGGATATTTCATTATTTGAATAATTTCTGCTTATTCAACAAGTCTATTCATTCATATCTTTATGTTGTTGGTTGGGTCAAATCTGTGCTGCTTCTCCTTTATGTAGGTTAGTCTGTTTTCTTGAAAGTATTCCCTCTTGACAGGTTGTGTGAACAGGTTTGTGCAGTGGTTTTTTTGGTTGCCATCTGATGATTGCTGCATGCTGTCTCACTCCAGCAGTTTTGTATTGACAACAGCACAGGTGTCATTCCAGGAAGGTATACATCTCCTCCCCTGTTCTTACTTTCATCAACTGTCTCTCACACCTGTCAAATGTCTTCCCTGGAGCAATGAAGCAGCCTTGGCAAAAAATAATCTTTCATGGCTTGCTTTTTGGCCAGCTCGTCAAGGATCTACAGCGCCCTCATCTGCATTTTTGAAAGACTGCAGTATCCAAATGTGATTGATTCTGGCCTCATTGGAGAGATCCTGTCTGAGTTTTTTGAGTGTGTGACCATTGAACAGCTGTATCGAAATCATAGCCAGTTGTACCATTACTAATGTAACAATGTTTTATTATTTATGATTATGATGATGATGATTATTATTATTATTGGCGACCCGGTGGTCACCTGGTTAGCGTGTCGGCCTCATAGTGCAGAGGTGCAGATTTCGATTCTGACTCCGGCCTTCCTGTGTGGAGTCCCCGCCACCTGCCCGAAGACAACTGGGATAGGCTCCAGCACACCTTGTGAGGATAAGCGGATATGGATGGATGGATTATTATTTTTATTATTATTACTATTATTATTCATCCATCCACGACCTCTACACTGTGAGGCGGATGTGTTAACCAATCTACAACCATGTCACTTGCCACATTCCATACTGTATTTCAAATTACTAGTACTGCATTTCGACTCAACAACCTACAAACCTCTTAATAAAGGGCTTTGCAGTGTCAATCAAATGGGCCATTGTTATCATTGTATAAGCAGAATTTATAATTTAGCTTTAGGTATTAAGACTGAATGACTTTCACCTCGACCATAAAAATCAAAAAATTGAACTAGTAAAATGTTACTGCCAACACTATGGTAAAAAATTAAGAACATAAACAATGTAAAAAATATTAGCAATAACTCCATAAGATAGATCTTTTTTCTTTGTCGAAGCTTTCTATGGATTTTGCATTTTGCGTCAAAGACAATAACACAGTTACCAGTAAAAGGCTTGTTTAATAGCAGAATATATTGACAGTACAGTACAGCAATAAAAACACTGCCATATTGCTCCTACTATACATGAATCACCCAGCTGCTGTTCAGCTTATGAAACATAGCAGTAATAATGGTGCTTGTACAGTAAAGATAGGAAAACACGACACATGGATGGGCTCACAGAGCTCTTCGACCATCATTTTCCATTGAAGGGTACAATGTGGAGGAAGAAAAGAATTTTATATTAATCATAAGAGCAAGAGGAAATAGAGTCACAGAGCTTTACATGCTTCAGTAAAGATTTGTGATAACCGAAGCATGAAGAACAATGGGGGGCGGGGGGGGGGGGCAGAGATCAACAGTCACAAGACTCACAGACAAAAATAGCAAATCAAATCAAAATTATGAAAAAAAAATAGGTGCTACTTTATACGTACATACGTAATACATACATGACATGAAATGATGGATGTCGTCGAAGAGTCACTCCTCGCACTGTCAAATGATCTTCATGCACATATTACATACTCTTCTTATTTTGTGCATTAGTTGTTGTATTACGTGAGTGCTGCCGTATTTCTTCTGCAAGACACTTACCGCAGGATCCTTGGGGCTGAACGATCATCAGTGACTGTCTTGCGGAGCTTAACGCCTCGACGTATAGTAACCAACATGTCCACGCCTCCTTGGGCTTCAGAAGATGGTCCCTGGAGTGCACACTTAATTGAATCCCCTAATGGTGAGCTAGGGAAGGGGAACTGAGCCTCACCGAGGGCATGAGCGCTGGCCGCCAGCTCTCCTATCTTCTCCACCAGACTGTGGCGGTTGGCGGCCAGTAGTGAGTCCTCCTCAGCACTCTGGGCGGCCAAAACTTGGGCCTGTAGATCGTAAGAAGTCCTGTCTGCACCTCCACAAGTCCACGCTTGTGTGTGTTGTTGAGGAGAAGCCTTTATGTATTCACTCGCATACGGATCATCTGGGCATAGCAGCTCTTCACTACATACACCATGCTGGGATGGGCTGGTGTAACCCGGGGAGTCCGGCACTGTGGGGGTTTTCACCGGCACAATGGGAGGTCGTATGGGAATTGGGCCAGATGTGGAAGGTGTGCGTCTCACCCCAGTCTTGGAGGATGGCGTCCGACGAATAGTAGCTGTTCCAGAGGCGACTGTTCCGGGGTTGCTAACCCCATTGGGAGCACCTTGCAGGCTTTTCCCTGCGGGAAGGCCTGCTGTGCTGGCAGGCCTTTTGGTTTGAATCATGCGGCGGTAGCTTTGGGCGATGTTACTGTGGCGCGGGATGGTGGAGGACTTGTCAAACTCTGTTTGGGCCTCAGTGTCAGCATCCCCATTTAGAGAGTAGCACTCATAATCAGAACCTAGGGATGATAGTAACTCAAGTGTTTTACACAGAACATTACTCACATTTTTTTTTGGGGGGGGGGTGAAATGTCTTTGAATGTACATGTCCAACTGTTTGTTTCACTTATTTTTGCGCACCTTGCTTATCTCTTACAAGGAGCTGAAGAGCAAAATTTACAACAGGTGTTTGAGCCATGAATCAACCGATACATTTGTAAAGACATCCACACCTGTTTTTCTGTGACTCTTCTAGTCTCGCATAGGTGCGGTACTGTTGACCAATAAGCATCATGCGAAACAACTCTTGTGAATTTTGCTGTTCAGCTCCTTGATAGAGAACAGCAAGTTGTACTAAAACCTGAAATTTCACTCGAAAGCCGAATATCTCTAACTTTTTGTTGTGAGTAGCGTATGAGTGACCAAGTGTGAAGTTTGACCTTGGGAGGGGATGGTGTCCTCAGAACACGAGGGGGTGTTGGTCTGGGTGCTGTAGCCACTGGAATACTGCAGAGAGTCTCTGCTGCTTTTCTGCTGCTCCATGCTTAGGCCTCTGGTCAGTACCATTGCCAGAGTACTGGCTGCTGGCGACAGAGGCTCACCATGCTGTAGAACAACACATGCAAATTCCCAATTCATACAATTGTACATCTTTAAATTTGCCATCCTGGGGCCCTGTTTTTATTGACATGCATTGGACATTGAACAGCAACATAACACACAATGATACACAAAATAAAATTTCTTTGTTTAATCTCATTTTTAGATTTTATAGATTAGGAAATATTGCTGCCTTGGATTGAATTGCAAAGAACAGAACTGAATAGAACGTGACTAAACAGGTTTGAACAGTCAAATATTATTAGATCAAGTTCTTTCCTGTTGTTATGGAGGGTTTCATCACTTCGTTTCTTTGGATGCAGACAAATCTGAACATATCCTCACTCAAGATCAAACTTCTTCTCTTTTATTATGATCCTAAATTATAGTTGTTCACTCTTTGATTTTAGAGTTAACTATTGATTGTGGTCTGCACATAATGAATGCGTGTGTGCTTTTAAGATTTCTTACCTTTGCTGTAATCATTCCTGGACCAATTCTTGCTCGGTGTGCATCATCTCCTTGGATGCCAGAATACCCAATCGAACTGGGCGAAGCGTCCATGTCTCTTATTTTATCAAGAGACTCTCTCCTTCGCTGCAACGTGCTGGCTAATGATGGATCGCACTGGCTTGATTTTGCCCAATCCTGAAGCAGCACATGCAACAATAAGACACCCACCAAACACGTGCAATCCCTCCATTTTTGATTAAAACTTCTGATTTGGCTCATGGATCAGTTAGATGCCGAGATAGATATGGGCAGACTACAGTGCGTATTGAGCCAGTTAAAGTCTGTTAAATGAGTGAGCCACCTCAGTTTACCATATCTTTATGAGGGAAGAAAAATGAGAAAACTGAACCTGATGAGCAAGAGAAAGGTGACTGCAAGGTTAATCTAAACATGTGCAACTCAAGAAGCAAAGAAGCATCCGATTTGAAAGTGAGGGAACCCAAAAGTAAAACTGCAAATGAAAACAAACCTTCCAGCTAGGAACCTTTGATGTGGGTGAGGGGGTGTTGGTTCCAGGGGAGTGGTTAAATGTGGGGGACGCAGGAAGTATGACAGACAGAGGCCTGATGGTGCCAGTGTGAGAGAAAGCAGGGCGGAAGGTGCCGAAGGATGAGCATGAGCCAAACTGCAGGATGACACACAAGTCTGAGTCAGAGTGCTCACCATCCACAAATAGTCAATTGCACTGAGGCCGCCTGGAGGCCTCTTTAAGATCGAGCTCACAGTGACTGTACTGTATAGTGTTGTGATTGGGTTATCAACAAGCTTGGCTGATTGGCGACTCGCATGCACTACTAACCGCAGTGGGGGAGTTGCACTCGCTGACAGACTGGCAGGTTTCAGAAGCCTCAGAGGAGGCCGAGCTTGTTGATTTCTGGGAAGGGAGATGGAATAGGAATAGTGGGAGAGAGATGACAATTAAGGAAGAGAGACAAAGGTGTCGGAGATGAGAGCAAAGAGGACAAGTTGGAGAGGACTGCTGATGAGTTTAAGGAGAAGGGATGCATTTGCCTCTTTGAGAGCCGATACAGCCCAAATACAGGACCTGTATCCATCCATCCATGTTCAACACCGCTGATCGTGAACAGGGTCGCGAGGTGTGCTGGAGCCTATCCCAGCTGACTTAGGGTGAAAGGCGGGCTAGACGATGAACAGACGAAGAACCGTTCACACCCACATCCACACTGTCACAGAGTGGGAACCGATCCCACGCTGCCCACACACAAGCCACAATCCAGGTGAGAGTTCCACCACAACACCAGTGACTTACAGGACCTGTCAGAATGTTAATTCAAACAAGAAACTTGCTGCAATGTGTTCGCACCACTGAGCGAGCGAATACCTCTCTGAGGCACAAATAACGCCAACATTCATCACCAAAAATCCGTATTGCGTCGAAGAGCTCAGATGTTTCGTGTTCAAAATACAAACAAGATGCTCTCATCACTGATTGACAAGACAGCAAATGAGAAAGGGCAGAATGACCGCTACCTGGCTGGTGACGTCAGATGGCATGGGAGAAGGAGGCTTCGAGTGGGTGTTGGCATCCTGGGAGACAAATCCTGAGTCGTGAGAGGAGACGCTGCTTAGTCGATGGGCCCCTGCCGAGGGCATCTGGAGGAGACTGTTGACAGGATGTTTAACATCAGAAACCCCAGAAAATAATTTGCTGTGAAAATTCATGTTTTTTGTATTCCTTTCTTCTTTTCTAACCCCAACTGTCTCATCATATTGTTCAACACATGATTGTTGTCTTCCTCCTGTAATACCCTGGCTTCGGGAATCCAGGTTATTATTAATCTTGGAACTGAAAATTGATGTTGACATCAGGGAGTTGCCCCCTAAACTCGGTGGGGATTTTTGTCTGTTCATACAAAATGTCACAGATGTTGGTTCACAATCTAGATCATGACAAAGCTGTTTGATGGGGTCCAGGTCAGGGCTCTCGTGTTATTCAACATCAGACTCGTCCAAGGATACGTTTATGTAACCTGCTTTGTACATTGAGGACAGTCATGCAACAATAGATGACGTTCTTTCCCATGACGGTTTCCAACTAACAACAAAGACAGCATTTCTCATTCAAGTAATCTGAACGATCTGACAAAAGTGGTATCGTATTCTTGATTGAATCATGGCACAAAAAAAAAAAAGGTTTGTATTGAGGTTATGAAGCTATTACCTTGCAGGTAACTCCAACTCGGTCTACTTGAACCATTTTGTGGCTATTTTTTTAAGCACTGGGACAAAGGATGGATCGATTCAAGGAACTCACGTACAAATGAGCGCTGTATATAGGCAGCAGTGTTAATAGGCACAAAGTGTCACAGTTATACTAAAACTGGTTGAGGCGGTGTGGTGATGGCAAGTGTTGATTTGCACACTTCTTAAGGGCTAAATGAGAATTAAGTGCAACATTGTCAACATGTTCTGGTTGGCTCGGGAGCGCTACAGTTGATTATGAATGTGTGCGCGTATGTCTGTGTGAATGTGCATGCGTGTGTGTGTTTAGACTTACCTGCACATGCTGCTCTTTCTGGAGCTGACACTGCCGGGCGAGGAGGGAGGTGTTTGATAGGACCATGTAAAGTCAGAACCTTTTAGGTCCCGGATTACCTGTCACAACACACACAACAATATGATTCTGACAATTGGAGAGAAAAAAAAATCATGAATGCAGTATTGACTCACTCTGTTTAAAAAAGGAAACAGACACTGTATTAAGTAGAACAGGATGCCTATTCCATCCGTACTCTTTTCAGCAATGCACACTACAAGCGTAATAATGAACATACTGTCACATGAATAGGTCTGCCACTTTGTCAAGGTGGAACTATTCATCAAGTTTTGTATCGGGTCTTGTATTCGATGTGTTTGCGGAAGTAATATTGTGGCCAGTGAGTGTCTGTTGTGACCTACGACTAGCTTATCAATTAATTCATGTCTACCTTACAAGTAATTTGGAAAAATCACCGTCGGTGTAAAAGCACAACACTTGGACCTACAGACCAAGCACTATGATGTCAGATGACCAGCTTGGTTTGGATATTTAAATGATTCAATTTTTGATACCTGCTCACTAGCTGGAGGAAGTTTGTGTGGGTCTTCTGTTAGCAGCGTGAGGTCATCAACAATGGCCTGTAAGTGTGTTGTCTCTCCCAACATGGCAATCTCAACATTCTGCAACAGAAAAACTGAGCTTATTATACACCATCCCAAAAGAAATTTAATTAAACATCGTTTTAGCGGTTACTAAAATGAATGAATGAATGTTCATTCTTGTGCACGAAAGTTAAACGTTGCTCAAGATTCCTCACCACAACAGGCTGCAGCAAGTTAATGAATGCGCAATAGCGCCCTCTCTCTTCCAGAAGTGCTCTGCGCACGGCCTGCTTCTCCGTCTCCTCCATGAGCAAGTACAGGTCGCTGACGTCCTGCATGGCGCTGTCCAGCTGTGGGCGCAGGTTTCCTCGCCCTGTGTTGGGTTAAGACAAGCGGAGACAGAAGAAGGAAGGAAGGAAGGATGAGGAGATGGAGGAAAGAGGCAAGAGAGCATGAAGAACAGAACAAGATGGGAAATTATGGAGAGGAGAGATAAGAGTGTCAGCAGTGGAGCAAAGAAAGGGAGAGTCAAAAATGAAAGATGATTAGAAAACATAATGAGAAACTGTTTATTTATTTGATGGGTTCATGTACATGGCAGTGGGAGGGCGATGAAGCATGTCGAAGATAATGACTTGATGCAGAGCTACTGGTGATGACTCGAAAACCCTCGAATGGATTCCATTACAAAAGTGTTAATCAAGGGCACGCTGCACAGTACATTCTACTTTGGCACTATGATAGATGAACAGAGGCGATGACAAATGAAAGAAGGATGTGAAGTACACGAGTACGATGCCAGCGGTTTGATTTACAACACAGATTTCTTAAGAAACATATGGCAAAATATAAACCTCGTGAGCAATTGTAAAAATTGTTGTCCACACTAATATAGTTGGCTTATCTGTGATGCGTTGATGGCAATGTCAATATGTTTGACATCAATTGCCCGTATTACAAAGTATTTGTGTCGCGCTCTGTTTATTGTCAGACAGATTTAGGGTGCGCAGATTTTATTAGATTGAGCAGGCGTACCTAATGGGGAATACCATCGCATGGATTGACACACAACCTCTCAGGTCAAACACAATTTGTTGCAAAACCGAGGTCCAATTTGTTGGGATTAAGTATTCATCTTCCCCATAGGAAATCATAGAAAATGGCATCATTAAACCTTTAATAGCTGTACAGTTTGGGATATAGATTCTGCGTTTGGGGTATGTTCTGTTTTATTTTTGTTCGGATTTTTTTTTTTTTTTTTTTTTGTCTCTTGATACGATTGTTGGCAGATTGTCTTGGCCAAATTGAAATGAGCAGCCTAGACAGGGATGTTTCATTTTTGGCCCGATGGCCATCATTTAATAAGCAACACTAACCATGAATGGACAACGTGGACAAATACTTTGAGGACATTTCTCAAGTACTGTGATTGACTGGTGACTATTTCAGAATGTGTACCCCACCTCTCGCCCAAAGTCAGTCGAAATAGGCTCCCGCACACTCGCGACCTTGGAGTCCGGAGAATGGATGGATGGATGTCTTATTGAACTTTCCCAGTGAGCATATATCAATTGTAGGCAACGAGGCAATGAAGTTTGTGCTTAACATAAATGTTACACATGTTGTCTGACTGACAGTGTGATAATGGATGTGATGCCTTGAAGAACTACCACATGCACCGGTTGTAAACTAAGATCAGCAGACATACCGAGAAGCTCTAAAGTATGGGGTATAGCCAGAAAGAAAGGGATTGGGGCATGGGGATAAAGCAGGGGGCGGGTTGGAGAGAAAAACAAGCAATGTTAGCCAGTGTGAAATCAGGACACATTATGTTTAAAAAAAATTGTACCAATGATGCAGGAAGAGTGGTACAAATGAGTTATTTTACAATTTTTAATTGAAGATGTTTTTTTTTTTTTCCAATACAGAGTAGTAGCTGAAAAGAAGTGCAAAGCTTGGAAGCCGACTGGAAATTTGTCAGTCCCCCCATCAGATTGCTTGCTGTTGTAACACGTGCATCTAACTCAAGATGGCGCTAGTTCGACTCAATTCATTCACATGGGCCGGCAGTCAAGCTCAGCTCAAGGGATTCTCACCTTTTCTTGCCTTTTTCTGAAGTTTGAGGGTATCTAATGACTTTCGTTTGATTTCTTGGCGAGAGCGCTTGTATTCTGTTGAGTAGAAGAATCTCACACTGTCATCATTTCCGAATGTTTAATCTATTACTTATTTTAGTCAGAAAAAAAATCTTCAGCTATAATTTCCATGTCAGTCACCTTTGGCATGGTCCTTGTCCAGCTGATTGGCAGTCTTCTTCCATTCCTCTATTCTGTCCTGGAGTGGTGTAACCAGGCCTTCCATTAGAGCACTAAAGTGATAGGATGACACTCAGAAATTGAAGGACGTGTTGTAAATTGTTTTAACTGTCTAGCAGGAAACACTCTAGGGAGAGATGAAGGCCAAATGAGATGGAATGGAACCTAGGAGCACAAATCCCCACTCAAGGTGAGGGGAGACAAACAACATTCACATGACACGTACTTAGTAAAGTGGCGCAATTTGGCCTCAATGCTGCGGTGTCGCATGCACATCCTAGTCAAAGCAGAGCCAATATCCCTGGTGGCACCTTCAGAAGAAAAAGAAAAAACATAGTTTACAAAAAATGGAAAGATGCATCTTAAATCCCACAATACAGATTTACAAAACTGCACGTTTTCTTTGGATTTCTTTGTGACACTGCCGCCTCCCACGCAGAATGTATTTAGCCTTGGGGTTCTTACAGAATGTTGTTACAAGTGAAAAAAACGGCAATAACAAATAGCAGATTGGTCTTCATCATTTGACAAACGTTATACAGTATGACACATGAGGAAAAAGCTGCGATATAATGTAAGTCAGGGCTGTTTTCTCTTCACAAGATGGCTTTCTCTTGAAACCACAAGGTTGCAAGTGTAAAACCAGAGACCATAAATGTCACATTTATGTGGTGAAAGCAAATATGACACTGTCGGCAAAGAAAAGCTAAATGGCCTTCCTGATGAAATATACGTTGTCCCCTGACATACCAAGATTGCAGATGTGATCCGCACCACAGTGTAAATAACAGCTTGTGAAAATTACGTACTGTACTTTTCCTCTCTGCTGAAGTGTAATTAAATGGAGACTTAAGCCCTAAAGCTCAGTCGGGCCAGCGTCTCACTGATGGTTTACAGGCGAGTGCTGTACGTGGAAGCATTGATCCTCTTGTAATCTGGGCCACACATTGCTAATCTTAAAGTCTCTCACCATACATACAGACCTCGCCAAGGCATGCTTGTTCTTGACTGTGTGTGCACAGGTCCCCCATACAGATGTTCGTGCCTTTGTATGGACAGGTGTTGCAATTAACCAAACCCCCTCATTCGTCCCAAAGTTCTCAAACCCGTCTGTCCCGGAGGAAAAAGGAGGGAACGTAAGGGGATATCCCTCTATTCTTCCTTGGTTGCTCTGCCTTTCCTGTTCTCTCTGTTTCCTAAACACCATTCATGCAGGCTGGAGAAACAGAAACTGACTCGAAAGCTTCTCGCAAGAATGGGCTGTAAACTCGAAAAAAATCACGTTGTGCTCTAGATTGCTGTCCACTAGATCTGTGCTCTCTTCTGATATCATAAAACGGTGTTACTGGGAGACAAAGACCACCACATAGTCAACCTTTGCAGTCCAAAGATGATCTGGATTCCGCTTCAGTGTATTTGGTCATTGACTGAAACATTTATGTCGCATGACTGCTGGAGTTCAAAGGTCATACAGCTGCATCAGGCATTAAACACCAAAATGATGTTTGTGTTAATGTATGGGACCTACATCCCCCTCACTAAGATACAATAATTGTGTTGCCTGATACACTTTTTTCAAATGTGCCTTTACAATGATATACATATACATACTGTGTAAGTTAATGTTCAGTTTGATTGTAGGTGTCACCACTTTACTGCATCTCAATGAGACCGGTTTTGAATATTGTAAAAAGGGAAGCAAAACAATAGCAGAATCTTTGAGAAAGCTGATGGACAATATGACCTTATTGTGTAATAAGGAAATTTACTTGAAGGAAAGCATGCCGTGTCATGGATGCACATGCACGCAAGGCCCGTGGACCCAGGTCACGCATCTCTCGCTAACATTACACAGCATGCGCAGCTGTGAAATAGCTCATCACACGGCGCGAGAGAGCAAAGCAAATGTAGACTCATCTCTATAACAGACCGTTGCAAAGTCACCGCCAGGCACCCCCAGCTACATGTCTCACCCACACCAGCACATTTCACTCCCCACCACCCCCTCTCCATATTCTCTTCAACCCATCTCCTCTCTTCCTTTGCCTCTCTGAGGAGGATCAACTGACAGCTACATCCTGGCGAGGTCCAGAGGATTCCTGGCCCTATCCGACAGCCCTTCTGGCCTCTGGCCCCCACCGGATGGAGTGGGACAGTATGAATCACTCCGACAGATCCCTCGCACGTGACAAACACACACAAGCAAGGAAGAGAAGAGAACTTGAGAATTTTGTTCAGTCAAAACTAAAAGCCGGTCGGTCCGCTGTCTCTTGCTTGGCTTTCTTGGCATTAAAACTTCACTTATACAGAGGAGCTGGGAAAGTTATTATTTTGCGGATCTTGCCCCCTGTGGTGCAACAGGAAGCAAGGCCAACCCCTTAGCAAACACACATGTGAACGGACAAAGTCAAACACAGGCTAGAGTGGGGTAAGGCGGGGGGCCATGTTTTGCAACTCCGTCATTATCTTAGCACAGCCAACATCCGGTATAGTGACGCAGCAGTTCATTTGAACCATACATTGGTCGATGGTTCAAAATCCAAATTTCCATCGGCTTTCCTGTGCCTGATTAAAAGAGCTTGATATTGCCGACAGTAGGGTGAAGCCCGTGGTGGGAAAATTGCAAAGCTCCAGTAAAGAGGTCCAGCGAAGTGTGGTCTAAACATTCAGTGAGCTCTGGTTCTGATTATCTTCCCTAATTCCTCTGGGAAAGGGGAGTCCTTTAATAGGCCTGCTATATCGCGAGCTCCCCTACCAAGGAGCCAGGAGCTACAGCGCCTTATTCCTGATGTCTTCAATATGGGAGCTTTGGTGAACTATCTCTCTCTCAGGTTTCATTGGACTACTGATTTGCAGCGAGAATCAGACTACGAATTGCAACCAGTATTTCAAGCTCTGTATTGCAGTGTGAGTCGGCCACTTGCTCCCTTGTTCTTTACCTTTGTCGAGAGAAAAGCTTTTATAAGGTGCAAAGGCGCATGTTCCATGGTTCACTTGCACAAAATTCCAGTTGCCTTTTATTTGCACTTATACAGCTGTTGCTGAGCTCAGCGATTTCCATCATCTATGAAAAACAGTGATTCTTCACATTAGCACCCTGGCCAACGATTAGCTTGGTGCCTTTTGCTTCTGTCACCCTATTCAATTGCTGCTGAATGTCAATTGGGTGACACACAGCAGAGGCCTCTGAAGGATGAAACGAGCTGGTGGGATGAGAGAAGCGGATGAAAGAGGGCACACACTGATGCTGAGGTGCTGGCTAGCTTTGGCTGGTCATCAGGCAGAGGAGATTGTTGGTTAACTTGTACAGGTGCAGGCAGCTCGGTGGACGATTGATTAGCACGTCCGCCTCAGAGTACAGACGTCCAGGGTTCGAATTCAAGCTCCGGCCTTTCTGTGTGGTTTGTATGTTCACCCAGTGTCTGTGTGGGTTTTCCTCAGGTATTCTGGTTTTCTCCTACATTCCAAAAACGTGCATTTTATTTCATGAAACCGTGGCTGTTGGTGTTATGGAAAACGATGACTTCTCAGCCATGTTTTTTCCTTGCTGTGGTGTGAAAAATACAGTTTTTTTTTTGTTGTTGTTGGCTGTATGAATGAGAATTACTTTACTGAACGCAGATTGATTAATTTATTCAGATCAATTTATTGGTACTCTGACTGAATTGTGAGGTACAATCTCTGTGATAAATAGAGGCATAGTAAGTATGAAGGGGTCTAATATTCTGCATCTCTCCGAAAATGGCAGAAAAGTCACAGGTATCAAAATCTCCCCATAAATGTGGGAGTGGCCAGAGTGACAAGGGGTGGGTGGTCTTTGCCACATTTTACTATTGATTAATTCCTATTAACTGCATAACTGTTTTAGCAGGGGAATGGGAGCAATTATGTGCTATATTTACTGTCTCCAGCTTGTGCGTCACTTCCTTGCATCTGTCTTCTCTTACCAGCGGCAACATTATTGGAAGGGTGAGGAAGCCACCTCTGCAACGATTGTTTTAGTCCACACATGAGGAGTCAAACACACTCATCCTATTGTTGTCTGGGCCAGAGAGCACGCACGGCAATTTCCACCTCCCAAGTCATGACCTGAGGCACTCTGAGAAGCAGACAGACTTCAGTTGTGCTGTAATGCGGTGTAACCATGTTCTGGAGAGTATTATGTGGAGAAGGGGGAACATGGGGGAGGGATATTTTGTAGGTTGAACCTCCTGTGAAGGAACATAAACGTTTCTAAAAATAAATTCAGCTCCTTGTCTAAGTGTGTTTTTCATGAGGTTGAAAAGGGGGGTGGGGGGGGGTGGTACTATACTCTGCAATAAATCTAAGGAGCCGCGTTTCCACACGGGATTGTCCACACTCCATCCCCAGACATTTAAACATAGACCGAAAGACCTTTTTATGTCACAGAATGAACCCAGATGTACCCAAATACACTATATCAACAAAATAATTGGTACAACTGAAAATGCCAGAAACTACCCACTATCATTTGGATTCAATAATGATTTACTTAGAGTTAAGATAATAATAGGAGTCATGGTTGAACAATGGAAACACCCTAAAACAACAGCAGAATAGAATTGTATATGCCCCAAGCCTGCACAAAGTTTTGCAGAAATAGGTCCATCCATCTTCCATGATGCTTTTCTTCATATGGGTCAGCTGAAGGCTATCACAGCTGACCTTGGGCAAGAGGCAGAGTATACCCTGGGCTGGTTGAGTGTCAGTCACAGGGGTGGAAATGTTTTTTTGTATTTTTTATAGGGATCTTTAACAAACAATGAATACATTGACTTTTTCCCTGTTTGCATCTCCACTCCAGGAGGAATCCATTCAATTTCAAGTGTGTCTATGGGAGTTTCTGTCCATTGATCACTGACGTTGGACCTGAGAAAAGTCCCGCTCGCTCATGCTAACTTGTTCTAGTTCATTACGGGTCTTTGATGAGGTTGGGGTTAAAATTTTCAAGATCTTCCACACAAGTCTCATCAAGGCAAGCCTTTATGGGCTTACGTTTTACAGCAAAGATTCCCACCCAGGGTGTAACAACACACTAGTGTGCCGTGAGAGAGCATCGCGGGAAGTTATCCAAATGTACTTCATTTGCCTGGAAATCATTATTTATTCATTACAAATGTTATAGCGCCATGACATTCATCTTGTCTTCTGATCAGTGAGTCAGGTCAGAGTTTTTCTCTTCTCTACAAAAAAAAAGACCATTGTCTGAAAAAATGAAACCTTAAACCTATTGCAAATGTTCTATCGTTGTTTCTCTGTACATGCCAACAATGTACAGTAACAAGCAAAA